ATACGTGCCCGATCAAGAAGATCATGCAAAGAAAACAGATGCCACAGACTAAAAGTCACCGGTTGGTTTTCCTTTTTAGATTGAAAATTAGTAATTGTTTAATATTGAAGATTTGAACTCTTAATTTTAATTTTAAATTAAAAATTTTAAATTAACAAATATCAATTTAGTACAATTTTTGTTGACATAGTCATCAATTGCTAGAATGTTATAAAAAGATATTCTTTGCAGTGGCAGAGGGAGGGGGCAGGGAGGGGGTGCGAGGGGGCGCTCGTCCCTTTTGAAATTTGAAAATCTTTTTAAATTAATATATGAAAAATTATTTTGTATCTCTGAAATTTAAAAGTTTTGTAAATTAATATATAAAAAATTATCTTGTCTCTGTTGAAAAAAAATTCCAGCTCCGCTCCTGATTCTTTGGTCTAGATTGACTATTTTTCATGTCAATCTACTCATGAAACTATCTTTTTGCCATTAATAAAAGACAAAATGTAAATTTCATCTAAAGACATCTTTGTCATTTTATTACAAACACCATCTCTGAGAGTCTATTTTACTCCTCCTCCTGCTCCAATTCTTTATCACCTATTTTGTTACTTTTGGCAATTGAAAAAACCCTTTGTCATGGGAGAAGCTCAAGAAGTTCAACTCCAGATCATTGGTAAGTCGCCTTTCAACTCTTATACTCTAACAAAGATAGCCGATAGAAAAAAGATATATATATATATATATATATATATATGTATGTATGTATGTATGTATGTATGTATGTATGTATGTATGTATGCATATGTGAGAAGAGATCTACTCACATATTAGTTTTATATACGATAGTTACACAAAATCTTAATTATTCATGTTTTTATTTTTAATGGTTGAGATTTGTCATGATTTTTTAAATGAAAAAATAATTATCTTTAATAAATGTAAATAAATCTTAATTATTGAAAATAAAAAGATGAATGATTTAAATTTTGTATAAGTATGATATGTAAAAATTATATATAAGTGAATTGATATATATCAGTTTTAACTTTAAAAAAAAAAATTAATGTCTCAACTTTTAAATTATGTTGTTTGTTTTAATTAAATTTCATCCAATAATTTTATCCTTTCGCTATTCACTGAAAGTTGTGATCATTCCTCACCAATAGCAAAAGTGATGACCCTTCTGCAATTCAACAATTCGGCCCTTTTGCAAACTCATTATCCTCCTTAACAATTCTCTTTTTCGGTGGCAACAGGGGAACAAAATCACTCTTTTCCGACAACCCTTAATTTCAAAGTTAGAGAGAGCACAAACTAATGCAACTTGAGAAAGAGGGAGGAAGGATAGAGGGATGTTGGTTTTGATTAAATAAAACGATGAGATAGAACTCTAATTATTTTTAAAATCAAAATTAATATACATTATTTTATATAATTTTTTTTAACAAAGATTATTGAGGCAATAACAGAATTCCAATTTTATTCTATTCCTCACTCCATTTTTAAAGTGAAATATTTCCACATGCTTGTGTTAAACAAGAAAAAAGAAATTGCCATCATACATGCTGCCTAAGGCATGCAAAAACCATTTTAATGTGTACATGATCCATGAGGATTCTTTGATCTTTGATCTTGAATGTATCTGGAATTTGACTCTCGAGCTTCATCCTGGTTCTTAAGATACTCATTTTTTCTCTTGACTCGTTTTCTCCTTTTGGCCAAGCATGGCATTTTTTATTTACTCAATTTGTTTTAATATTCGATTAAACTCATTTTGTCTAATGTCTTCTCTTTGGCGTAGGGTTAAGAACAAGCTCTAAACTCAAATCAACAATTTTAAGCACACTAATCTGAATTTTTATTTTCAGACTCGGATCATAATTAACTCAAACTCGATAAATCTAACCAAGCTCCCTAATTTTCGTTTTTTGAATATGGGAAATTGAGGAAGGGGAGATTGGGTCTTGGGATAAACCCATCAGCCGTACCACAAGGCCCTATACACTGCGCTAGTAATGTGTTTGGCAACCAAGCTCTCTAATTTGATCTCATAATCAAAAGTTTTAATTTATGGAGGGATAGGATTACAAGTTTACAACTTTTCACCCCCCACTATAGACCAAAATGTAACCCCTCACAAATTGTCAACATAGTAGTTACAAGTGGTGTTAACTTATCTCATTTCATATCTAAAGCGACAAATTTTACATGCAAAAAAGTGACCATTGATTGGGGAAGATAACTTTCTTTGATTGAGCAATTCCACATTGCACAACACTTTTTCTAGTGTTATATTTGCCTTAATGTGCTACATCTTTATTAATTTCACTAAAATCTCTTCATCTCTTTCATTGAATCTCTCCCTTTGTTTTCCTTCTCATTTAGACATGGAAAAAGAAGCTCAGGATCTTCAACTCCAAATTATAGGTAATTAAGTCACATTTTTCAACAATTTTTCTAATTTCATACGATTTTTGTTTATTGATTTTGAATGTCACCCAGATCAAGAAGACCATGCAAACACAACAAATAATCTCAGAGACCGAAAAACAGAGTCTCCCCCCGGCAAGCGTAACCACCTCCTCCGGGTTGCCCTCTACACCTTCTTCGTATTTGCCGGTCAGTCAGTGGCTATACTACTCGGAAGACTTTACTTTGAGAAAGGCGGAAGCAGCAAATGGGTAGGAACGCTTGCACAGCTCGCCGGATTCCCAGTTCTCATTCCTTACTACTTTCTTAATCTCCCCAGAACCAGAATACTTAATAAACCAGTTGACACAAAGAAATCTTCTTTGAAGATGGTTGTTTTTGTTTATGCTTCCCTTGGCCTGGTCACCACTGGTACATGCTTTTTGTATTCAGTTGGGATGCAGTACCTTCCGGTGTCAACGGTGACCCTCATCTCTGCATCCCAATTGGGTTTCAATGCTTTCTTCTCCTACTTCCTCAACTCCCAAAAGTTCACTCCTTACATAATCAACTCTCTAATCCTCCTCACCGTCTCCTCCGTCCTGCTCGTCTTCCAATCAAACTCCGAGAAGCCAGCGGGAGTCTCCAAAGCAGAGAACACAATCGGGTTCCTCTGCACCGTGGGAGGAACAGCGGGGATCGGCCTGCTTCTTGCTCTCCAGCAGCTCGCCTTCCGGAAGGTGCTAAAGGGTCAAACTTTCAAAACCGTCATGAACTTGACAATCTACCAATCCCTCTTCGCCACCATGTTTGCCACTGTGGGGTTCTTCGCGAGCGGAGACTGGAAGGGATTGAAGGCAGAGATGGAAGGGTATAGCCTGGGAAAGGTTTCTTACGCCATGACTCTGGTTTGGACGGCCATCTGTTGGCAAATTTTCACTATAGGCGCGGTAGCGTTGATTTTTGAGGTGTCTGCTCTGTTCTGCAACGCCATAAGCGTGGTAGGGTTTCCTCTGGTTCCGGTGATAGCCGTCTTCGTTTTCCATGACAAATTCGACGGGATAAAGGCCATCTCCTTGGTGCTGGCTATTTGGGGCTTCATTTCTTATGGATATGAGCATTTCGTCGAGGATAGGATGTCCAAGAAGGAAGTTGAAGTTGTTAGTGAAGTTTCTCCCAGGAATGGAAGAGGCTGATGGATAGAAACCCTTCCTCTTTTTTTTTTTGAAATTGTTAAATGGGGTGATAGAGAATGATATTGTCTAGATTTGAACTCAAAACTCGAATATCATCAGTATTATGCTTAAAACATGAACCATTTAGGTCACACACTCAGATTCAGGTATAAGAATTTTATGCACTATGGTGAAGGTGATACTACATTTGGACTAGTTATCCGCCTTGAAGGAGTTTTCTATTCTTGAAATGGTAAAATAAAAATTATTAAATGAAAGGGTGTAGAATTTTCAGGACATTATGACTCATCAAACCATCTATCATATGAATTACAAACTTGAACCCATGTGATTAATGATTTGATGTACTTTTTAATTTTTCGTTTTGTCTAAATGAAAAAGGTAATCTACAATCTAAATAATATTGTCACCTTTTTAATAATTTAAGTTATTTACTTTAGATATATTACATAACAATTTATTTTTTAAAAGAAATGTGCCTCACTACAATAATTGTGTTACTGTGAGTCATTCATGCATCTTATGGGTGCGTTAATTTGATATTAGAGTTGGACGTGGTGATTGTTTTAAAAAATGGGGTTAAACAAAAATGGGAAAGGGGGATAAAGATGACAATATACCAACTTTACATTATGGAGTTAAGGGTGGACAATGATTCATCACAATTTTCATATTGAAATTTATTTGGTTTAAAAATCCAATTGATTTTGATTTGATTTAATTGGAAGAATAAAATAAAAAAAAGGGGAAGTGTCTACACTCTACAGAGATTCTTTCCAGTAGTTGGGTGCACCGACTAATTACGACATCGCGTTGATAGCCTCTTCTCATGTCCTAACGCATCTAATTAACAGCTAGATTTGCTTCAATTGTTTGCATCTTGCCGTCCGCTTTATGCAAAGTTAGCTTTTGCTATTTTAAGAGTTTGTTGAGCTTCTTGTCCATCAATGTCACTACATTTAAGGGTGGACAATGATTCATCACCTATAGCTAGGAATTAACCATTTTAATTCCTAGAGATAAAAAAGAAAAATTAAATTCCTAAATATGATTTTTAGGTAGAAATTAGTTAATGAAAGTTTATATCGAAGATTCAAAGGGTATGTTTGGATTGACATTTCAAAAACAACAATCAACTATTTGCTCTAATTAAATTGATTAAATATTT